AAAGAAATTAAAAATTGATTTTTCACGCATTACCCATAAACCACAACCGACAAATCTACAAAAACTTGAAGGAGTGTTTTATGGGCATTGCTAGTAGTATCTGTATAAAAATGGGACAAATTGAACTCCTCGTCTATCCACCATTACAGAATATTAAAATTGGATTTTTTTTTATTTTTTTTTGGTCGATACCTTTATAACGCGTAAAAGCAAGTTTCAAAAATCTTGCGGTATGTCCGTCTGTCCATTTGTCCGTCGTGTCCATATGTTTAACTGCCTAGCTCTGTAGTATCTGCGATAAATATTCTTACGTTCGCAAAAAAGAAGAAGAATCGTGTACAAGTTTGCAAAAGAATTTGAAAATGACTCAACATGTGCCCACAAGTCTCACATGCCTAACACACGCAAACACTATGAACACCTTTGCTTTCCGCGTTTTTTCGCTTTTTACTCATAAACTATAGACTATGAAAATTTAGTTTTTTTCCTTTTTTCTTTTTTTATTTTTTGGATCACGGTGACGGGTGTAAAAGATTCGGTCACGACTGAATATAATTTTCTTACTTGTTTTTCTTACCTTTTTTTTTTTTTTTTTTTTCTTTTTTTCACTTAACTTTTTTAGGACATACATACATGCAATACATACATGCATTTATGGTAGGAAATTGAGGCCAATATGTGCAGTGTACATTCGTATAATAATACTACTAACTAGTATCGCTAATAACTAAATTGCACTCATTGTCTGCGCTCTAATCAAAAAATCTGCATTCACTTTACACTTGTATATTTTCTATAAATGAAAGCACAGCATGACGAACATTTGGATTTTTCATTTATTTATTTATTAATTTTTTTTTTTTTTTTTTCGTTTTTATATTTCAATACAAGTGCTTTATACAGATTTTTTTCGATTACTGTCGTCGTTATTTTGTAAATTTCAAGTAATTTATTGTATAAACAGCACTCGAAAATTATTATGAGTGAACAAATGTGTATTTGTTTGTTTATTTATTTTTTTTTTTTAAACTGGAAAATTTTTTTCATATATTGGTCTTTGATTTCTCTCCTTAATATTTATTTTATTTAATTGGATTTCATTTTCTGTCTTACCTTCAATAGCACGAATATAAGAAACTTATCAAAATTTATTTAAATTTCGTATTACGGTACAGATAATGTTCGCATACTGCAGAAGATCAATATTCAGGAAGTACAACTTATCCTATATCATAATTGCACATAAATACCTTTTAAAAATTTCATTTAAACAAATGCTCTCAGAAAATCTACTACAGGTTTTCAACTATCAAACCCATTAAGATTATTCAGTGATCAGCGAAATCCGAAATCGAAGCGATTTATTTGTAAATGGATGGCATAGTAGAAGCTTCCAAGTCTTCGGCAAGAAACCGGATTTGAAAAATGAAATGAATTTGATCAAAAAAAAAATATATATATATATATATATATATATATATATATATAGATAACCTTTGCCAAATTGCTCGTGAACCGAGCTTCACGAAATAAGAAAATTTTATTTTGATAGATATGATAAAGATCTTTGCCGACGAATATAGCCAATAGACCAATGAATGGATTTATTGTTGGGAAAGTATTATTCAAATTCATTGTTAATCTTTACCCTTTGCATTTATCTTATCGCTTAAATTATTTGTAAAAAAATGATGACTAATTCAAAAGCTTTACTAAATAAAACTTTAAGAATAATTAGTCATTTCTGAAGCAATTGCATTTTCGAATTTGGCATATCATTAATTTCTCGACGACCATCGTCTAATTGAAGCAACCTGTCCCGACTATAAACGGGAATTGTCTCTAAGCGCATTCTTCTTCATAATGCCAATCAATTCTTGCCATTCAATCCTTTTGTAAATACGTAAACAATAATTGAACGAAATTCAATTTGTTCAGTTTGCAATTTTTTTTTTTTTTTTTGTAGCTTTAAGGATCAAAATGTTTTTACTTATCAGTTGTCTGGCTGGATTGAACTATATTTGATAAATTGGCTTTTAATTTTTTTTTTTTTTTTTTTCATATTCTCATCAAAGAGAGAGGAATTAAGTTGCCATGAACAAAATATATATTCTGCCGGTATCTACAGTATCGGGCTGCAATACTTATAAGTTCAAGTTTAGCATTTCGTCTTCGTCTTTAGTTCGTTTCGTTGTTAGTTTATCGCCGTCTTCTTCGAAATTTGTTTTATTTATAACGGGAAACACTTTTATGCTACTGTTCCGTAAAACTATGGCCAATTGTTTGGCGCCGAAGCGGCTTTTTAAAGCTGAAGAAATAATGATAATAAACAGATTGCGAAGCGAATGTTAATCTCCGCAGCTTTTACGCTTCGTGATATCATCATCATTAGTGCGAACATTATACAAATGGGTAAATTCCTTTCCCCTTCAAAGTCAAAAATAAGAATTTTTGATCTAGCACTGGCTTAAGCGCACGCGAATTGCTGATAGTATATATATAGCATATATATATATAACTGTCTCTTAATGATTATATGCATTGCATTATAGTTTTGACAAATCTATCCTACATTTAGGCAAAGTAATATCGACTAAAATGGGATTTGTGTGGCCAATGCCTTATCCATTGATTTTCTTTAGCATATAATCACAATGTTGAAGAAACTGTATTTCAACCTTTATCGTCTAGCTAATCTCAATCTTTGCATCGTACATATATGTGAGGGACAATTGATTCCATGTTTAAATAGCATTTAGAAGGGGAATAAAAAAAGTGAAGAAAAAAGAAAACAAAAAAAAAAAAAGGCACCAATATATTAAATAAGTAGAAGTGATAATACTTTTTTTGTATACTATATAGAATATAATTTTTAAGCTACTACAACTTTAACTGACTGACAGCGCACGTTGATTCAAAGATAACTAACCATACATAAATGTTTACATAACTGCAATAAAAACAGAGCGAAAAAAAAAAAAAAAAAAAAACAAAAAAAAAAAAACTTTTATTCAGCTAACACCGAACGTTGGTAGACCCATCCACTAGTTTATTTTTATTGTCATTCAGGGAATCAAAACGAAATACAGAAATACATGACATAGATTGCAAAAATATAAGCCTAAGCGTAAACCTATATCGACGATAGTTCGCAAATTATGTACATAGCACAAGGATTCGAATCCCATTCTCGCCTCAAAATAATCAATTTTTTTCATTTCAATTAAATGATTTTGCTTATGCGAATCATGAGGTCTCGCTTTAATATGCATATATCCGTATATCGTGTAGAAAATAGAAAACTATACTTTTCCGGCCATAATTAAAAAAAAAAAAAAAAAGGTTAAGCTGCAAAATTTTGAAGAGTGAACGACTTAATTTAATGAAAGGTAGGATTCCCGGTCGAGAAATTAATGAATTATTTGCAGAAAGGAACTTGTTAACTTACAACATAAGCCCAGTTAATGGTAGATAACATAAGATAGCTCAAACATTTCCTACGATGAAATTCTTCGGTACAAACTTCGAAACATTTTTTCTCTCTCTCTCTCTCTCTCTCTTCTGTAATTGCAAAGACAAAGAAGTCCATGCTATGCAAACGTAACATAGCCTCTCTCATACAGTGAAATTGGTGAATGTAACAGACATTACGGGATTAGAGAAAGTGCGTTTTATTAAAAATTATTAATTATAGTGTCGTAAACGTAACAAGTTATGTAAGCATAAGTATTATATAACATGCATAACGTTCACGCATAAGCACAAGTCATATAGATGAGTTGCTTCTAACAATCATATGACACAAAATATTCGATGACCATCATTATAGATTAGATTCCAACAAAATTTAATTGAAGTTTGATTTGCATTCCGAATTAGCGGAAATGAAAGAACAAAATATTATACTAAATATTTAATGGCTTAAATAAAAGCCGGGCAGAAGAAGGGACATGGATATATGGTTTTCACTATCCACGTTCATTTTTTCTCTTCTTCCTAACGATCAACCACTGAGAGCATGTCAGAGTCAGGAAGAATCATAGGCGCGAAGGTGACGAAAAAGAAAAAGTAGTATTTGTGTACATTCGACTTAAATGCGCGAGCCTTCGAAAGGATGGGAGGGGTGCATTAGGGCGTCCTCGTTACCTAGATTTATGTTCAATAATTCGACTTTTTTGTTAGCAATGCATCCCTCTACATTATTTTAGACCAGACCGCTTCTTTCAAAGATATTTCAATCAATAAAGCACGATAGCGGTCGAGATGGCACTATGAATACTATGCCTCGCTTTTGCACGTGAGAGAATGTCAAAGCGATGGCTAGTCTTCAACATACCATCTTCCTTCCCTCCATTCAAATACGACAGATACCGTTTGCCTCTAAGAAACATTGTATATATTGGTAGAATTAACGCTCAGTTGAGGCAAAATCGCCATAAACTGATAATGAATCGGTCAATTCGAATCATTATTATTGCGATCTCGTCCATATCTACAGTTTTACTTATTTATTATTGAATCGAGAACTTTGCGCAGTTCATAGGTAGCTTCAAGCCAAGAAAGGCCGGTAAGAAGACTTTGAGAAACGGAACATACTCACCGTCATAATAGAGAGAATATAAATAAATAGAAACTACATTGAAAGACAACAACAAAAAATAAAATTTACTATCTCTGAAAAAGAAAAAAAAAAAAGAAAAAAATCAATGATATCAATAATATTTTTTTCCATTTTTTTTACAACAAAAAAAAAAAAAAAAAAAAAAAAAAAAAAAGGGGTCTTTTGTGAGGTAGGAAAGGTATCCCAGAAATACACGCGTTCCACTAACTTGCTCGCATAACGAGTAACACTTTGTTTTTAACAATTCAAAGCAAGCAGACATTTAAAGCGAGTATTTGTAGCGCCCACTTCAGACGCCTGTAAAATTCTAATTTTGGCATACATTCGCGATTTTGGGAATAATAATAAAAAAAAAAAAAAAAAAAAAAAAAAAAAAAAAAAAACTTCAAAATTTTGTATACAAAAAATTAGAAAAAAAAATTAATAAATAAATAAATGAAGGAAAATTTTAATCGCAACCGATTTATGAGATTTGCGGATAATTGAATCTGAAAAGTCATATAAAACTTGTAAACGATAGAAATTATTTGAAATTAATTAATTAATTAATCGTGAAGTGTTGGGAAGAAGTTTTCATAATTTATTGAGGTTTTGTCAATGAGTTGATCGCACTGCTTTACGGTTTATGACAAGCACTTAGAAAGGTTGAAAATATAATTTAAAAAAAAAAAATACAAAATACAAAATAATGATAATTTAAAAATATTCAAAATTTCGGAAGCAATGCGATATTTTTATTTTATTTTTATTTATCACTTAATTAAGTAAAGTAAAATAAAGCTTAAAAAAAAAGAAAATTTATCAATTAATACAAAAAAAGATCAAAATAGAAATAAAAATAATTAAATAATCAGATTCATTCATTCATTCAATCAATCAATCAATCAATATTTTAAAGTTCAAGTTCCTATACATCATCCGACCCTTTATAATAATATGACAAATTATAATCCAAATTGTGGCTTTTACGAGGATTACGGTAGCAGCGGTTATTATACCGCAGCGAATAATATCTACCAACAGGATTATTGTATGCAACAGGATTACAATGAATATAATAAACATGTTTATGAGTAAGTACATCATTTAAAGATTTTGATTGTCAAAATTTTACCCTTACTTTCAATTCATCCCTTCAGGATCTATCGGTAATCTCTTTGACATTTGTAAAACTTACGAGAAAAAAAAAAAAAAACTTTTCTTTTTTTTTTTTTTTACTTTTAAATTTAATTATGCAAATCCGTTTGCCGCTTAGCTCAGGTGATCCACGTTAGTTATTGAGTTAGGGAACTGGATATTATCGCTTGTGTATTCATATTTGCTTTCCAATAACGTACATCTTTGAAAGAATTTATATGGTCACGTATGCAAATAATGAAAAGCTTTTCACTTGTTCGATTTAACAGTGAAACTGTAAAGTACCTCCAATTTCCCCATCTCTCGTTAGTTATATTAATAAGCTTCGCCTACATATATTCGCGATTCCCTAATACCCAAACAATGGTATGCGAAGTCTCACATATATATGTATGTGATTAAGAAAGGAAAAAGTTCGTGGCACATTGCCCATTAGAGGTGATTTTCGAATCACCTAAAGTTGCAATTTTATAAATAATTAAAGAAATAAAACTTATTGTGACCTAATGCCGCCGAACATAACATTGCGTTTTGGAAAGAAGTCAAAATTTTGAAAAAAAATCCCTTTTTATTTAACAATATCACTTCGGCTCACACGACAATTCTTCGCAGATTTGCTAAAAAAAAAAAAAAAAATTGATCATAGTGTTTGGAATAGAAAATGCCTCGGTAGAATGAGCGGAATGCAGAAATTTCCATATGAAAGACGTGCCGCTCATTGATTAATGAAATCCATGAAAAGGAAGATCTGCGGGAACGTTTTTAAAAGTGTTTTTGAATCATTTCCACACAATTAAATAGCAACAGTGGACCTTTGCATTCCAGTTACGAAAACCTGCTGAAATGAAATGAAATCGATTCACTTTTGAAGAGCAAGAGGTCATTATCCCAAATGGTTTGAAAGTGTACAAACGATGGCAAAGACCGAGTTAACGCCACATAAGCTTTAATGCTTTATGTTTGATCGGATTGCAAAGAATCGATAATCATGACCTGATCTTGCTTAACTTGGGCAGATGATTGTTTCCCCTTGTCTGCTGTCGATAACTAAGACCATTAAATCGGCCAATTGTCGTAAAGTGCCCAGAATTGAGCAATCGGAAAATAGTCGTCTCCCATCAAGGCAGTACCAGACCGCAAGCATGATTCGAGAAAACTCTTAAAAACTTCAATACGAAGTTTTGATGCTTTCTGATTATTATTTGCTTCGCTCTCTCCAACAGCCCCTTAATAATGTAAAATTGAGTTGAAAAGATGATCAGAAGGTCATTTTTCAATTGAAACTGAACCATAAATTAACAGTTATGTTGTAAAAAATTCGAATACTATAGCTTATGTAATTCGAGGTTTAGCAATTCCTGTGACGTGACGTTAAAGGCATTGTTTATGGCCGTAAAAAGATTTTAGATGATTCCTGCATTATATATCTGAAAGGAAAAATAGCAAGCATAGCACTTAACGATAGTGACCGTAAGGATTATCATTCATTTAATTGATCTCGATGCCTGCTCTTCTTCTGTGAGTAGAATTAGCTGGAAATCAATTTGATAATTTTAAGAATATGTGCAGAAAATCACGGCAGGCTTGATAATTAATATAACACGTACCAATAAAGATAGGGGAATTGCCTGGCATTATTCAACATATATGTGCGCCCTACAGCCCTGAGCAGAATGTTTTAGCTGAACGAATGGGCAGAGCTGTTATTGAAAATGCTAGATATCTACTGTTTCGGGCAAACATCGTGAACGAAAGCAGGGAATACAGTAATTTTTTGCCTTGCAAGAGTCTTCTATCTGCACTTGAAGAGATTCCAGCTTAGACATAAACCATCTGTAAAGCATTTCAAAATTTTTGATTGCACGACAACGATTCCAATATCAAGGCAGTAGCGTATAAAATTGAATACCAAGGGAGAAGAACTTATCTTTACTTCATTCTGTCAAAGTTCCAAAGTGCAAAGTTTTCTTTTCGCTTTTTTGATTATACAAAAAAAAAATGCTAAAATTAGCCATAATGCAGTTTTTCAAGCAGTTTGATCGTTACGATGAACTTTCATTACAAGCAATATCTTATAAACCGTTCGGCAAATTTTACGATTCGCGGAACGATGTCTGTGAAAGTAAAAACGAAAAAGAAAATGATGCATTTTATTATGATGAGGAGGAGATGAAGAAGAAAAAAAAAGTAATTTGTTAAAAAAAATGAGGTAAGTAAGCATTCTTAACAACTTTCGAATACTAAACCGAAGTTAAAGAAACGTTGAGGACGAGATTAACTAAAATTAAAAAACCCAGTTGATCGTTATGAGCTTAAAAAAACATTGAGTCATCCATTTTGTGATTCAGAAAGTAAATGTAAATAGGACGACACACTTCTAATTAAGATTTGGATGGAATTTTATGAATCTTGCGCCGAGTTGTCCAGAAATTGTTAAAACTTTTAACGATTATTGAACCTTTGGTGTATAGAAAACACCGAACAAACACAAGACTTTTAATTGTATAAAAGTAAATTTTGGGCATGGTTTATGGGCTGAAAATGCCATATTTTTGATGTGTATGAAAATCGCTTTACGGTTACGCTCAGTGCAGAACGCTACGGAAATCGGATAAATGATTTTTTATAACAAAATATCGGACGACTTCGGCTTCGATGATATGGCGTTTCAAGAAGTGTGAAGAGTTCAAGCACAAGTCCAGCGGTCGTCATTTCATCTTAAGGAAATGAAATTTCATCTCGATGTCTTTTATCGTTTACTTTTAATTACAAATAGAAAAAAATAAAAAAAAGGAAAAACACTAACGCAGTTCATGAACCGATAAATAATTTATATAAATACCTCTATGCCATGGTGTGCATCGAACGAGAAATATGAAAAGATAGTAACACTTGGTAAATAAGTGAACTACTGCCTAAGAGGAAGGCGCGATTAGCATAAACAAATTATGTTTCAAGCACGAGAACAATTTGAAGCACACCTTGTCACAGAAGCGTATTTGTAAAAGAAAGGAATCGATTATGAGAAAGTGTTCTCAAGTCTCTCAGTGAAATGATATGATATTTTTCAATAAGGCTCCTATTGGTAATCGCTGTAAGACATGAACTTGATGCCCCGTGTACAAAATGAATTAAAATAATCACAATTTCATGAAAATTTTGATTGGCATTAAGATAAGGCGAAATCAAGGCAAATTTACAGAATGTCCACGAATTGAAGTAGACAAGTTAGTAGACGTTAGAAACAATCAAGCAATTATATATTACTCTGATCAACTATCGGCTATAGCAGTCGTAAATAGATCTGTTCACATATTACCGCGAAGAAGCAAATGTGACGATCTACATAGCACTATAAGTGAATGATATTTTCACTTTTGTAACTGACATTCACAAGAGAGTGCAACTTAAAAAATAAACTAAAAAAGAAATTTGGATGCTGTAGTAAATGAAAATTATAAGATATAGAAATAATGTAAAACGATGCATAGATCAGAGTAAATATCTAATAGACATCCGACTGATTGACTGATTGATAAGATGTCACTACATCGCTTCGATATCAAACAAAAGTTATCGAGGCAAGAAAGCAATTGATAGTCTATCATATACATTAGTTGGATAAGCTAAGCAAATGTATCCATTAATGCAATATAGATACTTTCCAGATTTAATTAAAATACTGAAGCAATTTCTTGATTTGCAGTTAAAAGAATTTAACGGTACATAAACAATGCCCTACATTGAATATTAAATTATCGTCAAGACGATACAGCCATCGTTATAAGATCAACTTATGCAGACTGGGCCGACGAGAAGCGACGATATCCGCTAGTCTACAACAGAATGTGTTTGCCGCGGAACTCCAATCTTCAAAACACATTGGCAATCTTTACATCTGGAACTGAATATATGGCACCATTGACAGCTTGCCAAGAAATGAATTAATTAAAATCCTTGTGCAGCGAAATTTTTCTACCCTGAAAATGAGCCATAGATACTCCACGCAAATAACAATGTGACTTACAACAATTTTGATCTAAAATTTCAATATGCTTACCCCTGTCTAGCCGAAGCGAAGATTTAGAGGCGGTCAAAAAAATGATTGCAAATAGAAGTATCACCTGCTTCTGCCGACGTTTTATTTATATATTATTTAAAGAGAAGGATCAGCATGAAAACAAGAGAAACAAGCCAATAAGAAAATCAATAATCGGTCGTGAACGTATCTTTTATACCCATCACCGTGATCCCAAAAAAAAAAAAAAAAAGAAGATAAATAAATAAATTTTCATATTCAATAATATTTACAATCAAATTGGAAATTTTTCATGGTATATGTGTTGTACTTTATGAGTAACAAGCAAGAAACCCAGTAAAGGGCAAAGGTGTTCACAGTTTTCGCAACACTGACGTGTGGGCGTGTTCTTTGAAAAGTTTGGTTCATTTTCAAACTCTTTTGTTCGCAAACGGAAGACTCTTTCCCACAGATACACACAGTTGCGAAGATGGAAAGATCGCCGGATGAATGGATGTACATGCTCAGATGCAACTGGCCATGGATTTATTTACTTACTACAGCGTCGCCTATAGAAAATAAGTTCAATTTTTTCGAGATTTAATTGCCGTAGTTTATGAGTAATGCGACAGACACCAATTTTTTATTCCTTTTCAAAAAGGGGAGATGTTCCCAGTTTACGAGGGAGTGCGGATATGTTTTTCGATCGATTTGCCACACTTTCAATACCAAACAACGTGCAAGAACATGATTTAAATATGATTTACCAAATTTGAAGTCGATATCTTCACTCAGACATACGGACCGATATGGCCTAAGCAATGCAGATTTTCATGCTAATCAATGGGTCTCTAAAGCTTACTTTTGCAAGCATTGTTGCAAACATTATGACAAAATGAGTATACCTCACATCTTTTA